TTGTTTAATATGCGGAAGCGGCCGTGAAAAAATTACCGTCTATAACAAACCGTTACTAGAGGACCGGATATGCGTCTAGCCTATGGATATGATAATGAGCAAAGAGAATCACCATGCTAGTCACACTATCAATTGATTTATATCACTACTTGGTATGACTAGTTCCAATGCCTCAAAATGCCAACAAAATAATTGGACAGGACACGAGAATTTTGGTTCAGACAATTTATCAAACACTTGGCGTGCGGAGCACTCCAAGTGAGTTTGGCTTTGAGTAAGTAACTATGGTTTCCCTGTACAATAAACTATTGTACTAGATTCAAAATTACTTCAGTACTTACTCAAAACAATCCTTAATTTGATAAACTTGTTTGTACGAAAATCACGCAAATATTACGCAAAATGAAAATGCGGAAAGTAAAAAGGCATAAAGATTTGTTGAGGCAGTTCCCCCGCCATCCTCGCTTAGGGGTACGTCTGCCCTCAATTCTAACAATAGAATTAAACTCGTATAATATAAATGTAACCTGTTGTTGAATCGCTTATACAAGAATGGAGTAGCAAATGAACAAACAAACTCCCTTGTTGAATATGCTTTCTCTTCTTGTCCCTTGATTCGAGTCGAATCAAGTCCTTCGATTGCTTACGGATAAACCTCTGATTACATCTCCTTGGTTGAACAACCTTGCATTTTCAAACCTCAACTCGACTAATATCAAACACTTGCTAATCGAACCTGAACCTCTCCTTCACAATTCACTGATTCCCGCTACTAGATCGACGGAACCCACCGCTCCTCGATCACCTTCGCTCAACTGAATATATGTTGAGAAGATTCATACCAAAAACCCCAAAATTCAGTGAATCTTGGAGGACAAAATCTTCAAGGTTTTATTCAAGAAAACCTGCTAAAATCTCAACCTGAACCGAATTCCCAATCAACGGCTTCGGACGTTATCACTTCAAACAAGCCATAATGCACAACAAAGATTATTGTGTGTGATTGTTGTGGTATGAAATGTAGAAGATGAAGATGATGAGAACTAATGGCACCTCTTTCACTTTTCTTGTTTTGCAATTGATTCAATTGTTGTTGATGAAAATGAGCAACTTTCTGTTTATATTATGCCAAAAAGTAACAGAAAAAAACTACTTTTCAAAATATGTGGACAAACCAAAATTATGCAGAAAACCAGCGAACGGTCGACCATACATAAAGGAAGGGTTGACCGGAACTCCCCAGACAACACAAATTATACAAAGTAACAAGCTATGCGTCGACCAAAACAAGATCATGCGTCGATGCAAAGTCTGTATTTTTAGACAATCAGAGATAACAACAGTATGCGTCGACCGGAGGTCGACGTGCGCCAACCCGTAGAAAATGCACTTTGTAAACATCTTCTATGAGTCGACCGAAACATATGAGTGGTCGATTCAAAGCCCTGTATTTTACAAAAATACTAATTTTGCTATTTTTGACTCTTCTAGATGCGACTTTTAACATACCAATGAGGTTTGACTCGAATAACGCTAATTTGATGACACAACATGCAAGCAAATGAGACATAAGAGATAAGGTATGCTTATGCCTTGTGGTGATAATGCCAAGTAACGATTCTTCCATATGGTTGCGTTTTGATATCATCGAAACACACATGTATGGTATATGAGGCTTTGCCCTCACAACAGTGGCACAGTTCGACCTTGAACTGAAACAGATGGATGTGAAGATTGCATTCTTGTATGGTGACTTAGATGAAACATACCTGATGAGGCAACCTGAAGGGTATGTCGAAAAAGGGAAGGAAGACTATGTGTGCAAGCTGAATAGATCCTTATATGGATTGAAACAATCTCCTCGATAGTGAAATAGGAGATTCGACAAGTTCATGGCACGTATAAGTTTCATCAGAAGTTAGTTTGACCACTGTGTTTACTTTAGATTTTGACCGGGTAATTCATTTGTTATTTTGTTGCTCTATGTGAATGATATTCTAATAGGAAGCAATAGTGTCAAATATGTAATGAGGGTGAAGGTTGAACTCAATAAAGAGTTTGACATGAAGGATTTGGGAGCTGCGTCCAGGATTCTTGAGATTGACATCCGGAGAGATAGAAAGCAGTCGAAATTATGCTTATCTCAAGAGGCATACCTGCAGAAGGTTCTCGAAATGTTTGGTACGTCGAATTCAAAGCCTGTTGTGACTCTGACAAACCCTCAATTCAAGCTGAGTATAGATCAGTGTCCCAACACTGATGTTGGAAGAACTTATATGAATAGCATTTCAGATGCTAACATAGTAGGTTCTTTGATGTATGCTATCGTCTGTACTAGATCCGACATAACATGTGCAGTGAGTCTTGTAAGCAGGTACATGGCGAATCCTGGAAAGGCTCACTGGTAAGCATTGAAGTGGATTTTAAGGTACATAAATGGGTCCTTGAATAGAGTCCTAATTTATGGTGGAGCCTTCAGTGAAGATAGTAAAGCAGCAATCGAAGGATATGTCGACTCTGATTATGCAGGTTGTATGGATTTCAGAAAATCTATCTCGGGATATGTGTTCACTATGTTTGGGACAACAATCAGTTGGAAAACAATACTTCAGAAGGTCGTTGCCTTATCAACCACTGAAGCGGAGTATATTGCCCTAACTGAAGATGTGAAGGAAGCATTGTGGCTTGAAGGTTTTGCAAAGGAGCTAAAACTTCAAGGTCAAGTTATCACTGTTAAATGTGATAGTCAAAGTGCAATACACCTGTCGAAGTTCAGCCTATCATGAGCGAATCAAGCACACTGATGTGAGACTGCATTTCGTCAGAGGGGTAATCGAGCGTGGAGAACTCCAAGTGCTGAAGGTTTCGACAGATCATAATGCTGCTGATATGATCACCAAGACGTTGCCAAGTTGCAAGTTTTTCCATTGTATGCAGTTAATAAAGCTGCATGAAGAAAGCTAGTTTCTTGATGTTATAGAGTTAGATCCAAGGTGGAGATTTGTAAGATGTTGGATCGAACTCTAGTATGGTCGAAGTCTGTTCGTGAGTAATGCGTGTTGTAGTCGAAGTTTGTTCTAACATGTATTAGTCAATATTGCTAGGGTTGTTAGTATGTTGAATCAGACCTTGCTTGTAAGCCCGATTGTTTAAGTTAGCTTGTAATGGATAATTGTTAAAAATCCCATTGGGTTAATGTGCTATTTTTTTTTTATAAATAGGATGCTAGTTTCTCAATCTTGATATAAGGAAAAATAGGAAGATAAAATCCTAATTTCAAGAGAGAGAGAGGTTATTTTGTTATTCTTTTATACTTGTAATCTTGTTCTAAGAGAAAGGAAAGAATAGCAGTTTAATAACCAATCCTTGTTGTTTTCTTCTTTATTAACCCTAACTCTTGTGTGTTTCTTGATCATTAAGAAATTGTTTATACTTAATTTTAAGGTATCCGATTCACAACACCTTCATTGGAATAGATAAAGCTCGGTGGCGACTCTGTTCGAACAATTTTCCGCGAGCGTGCGATATACACTTTGCGAAGGATTGTATTTTTTGAGGTACGACAAATAGGAAAAGAGGAAGAATGAGGAAAAGAAAAGAATTGTGGTTTTTAAAATTGAGGGTAAAATGGTCCGACCCGACCCTCTTTAAACCAAACCAAATAAATCGACCGCTCCACTCGCTTTGAACTGCACCCGACCCCGCTACTTAAGCCGAGATCGCGACCGCTCCAACCGCTTCCCCATTTCGCGGCATACTAGTACCACAAGAAACGACCACGCCAAATTTTCTGCATCACTCTACTATCGTGGTCGGACCAATCGCTATTAACAACAGAGGATCAAACTCATCTTAAGATGCTCGAAAGTCTCAGTGCTCTAAAATCGGATCTTCATCGGAGACTTTACCGCTAAATAAATCAAATTAGCATTTCTTTTGATGATATAAGACATTTTAAAGAAAAATTTAAGGAGAAAATTATAAGATGAGTGATAAATGGCAGTGAGGGAATGACACATGTTTCTAATGCTTGCATGCATGCACCAATACCATTGACATGACATTAAAACACGCGCCACATGCATTGACACCTAAAACTAAATTAGACTGCATATGTCACAAGCAGTGACACATTCTCTATATGACGATTTTTTTATTTTAAAATAGTTACTTTGATAAAAAATTTAAAATAATTTGAGTATTTTTTTTTAAAAAGTTGATTATTTCAAACCTAAAAATATTTAATTTTTTAGTAGTTTATTTTAATTTAAACTTAACCCTACATCATGGGTTGCATTGTATGCAAAGAGCTAGGCATATGTGCCTATACTCATACACGACATTAGTACAATCTCATTCAACTCAACTAACTCCGGTTGGTCCCTGGCGATTAATTTCAAACCTTCCTCGGCGGCAGTAATGGATTCTCACCATTCACCTACCTACACACCACAACTACTCAACCACATCTCTTCATTTCATACTCCACAAAGTCAAATTATTACTATTTTCAAACAATGATGTAACCAAATACAGAATATTCACAAAGCTTTTTTGACTAGGAATATTTTATAACATTAACATTTTTCCGTTGAATATTGTTTTTCTAAGTTGTTGAGCATATTAGTAATTAAATTTTGATAGGCCTCGCTTGCCACATGTTTAGATCTCACTTTTTTTATTAATCTTATAATAATCATTTTTGATTAGATTAGATTCATCTCGCCCAGCCACGACACTCTCTTTACAAAATTGAATCAACCAACACCCACCACCTACTTTTATATGTTTTTTTAAAATTATTTATTTACTCACGCATCTAAAATCAACTTTTTTTATTATAAATTCAAAACATCGAAGGAAAAAAAAACGAAAATCTTCACTATATCAAAACCCAACCCTTTGGTTTTCAGAAATGGTGTTATAAATATCAGAAAACCAGTTAATTTGCGTTTTCTCTTCCCGAAGCTTTGTTGGCGGCAAAGCGTACGTTGATTCTCATGGCGCCTTCGAAGCTTTTCGTCTTCGCTCTTTCCGTTGCCCTAATTTTCGTCATCGGTAGTTCCGACGCCGACGTTTCCATCGAAGAATCCGATTCATCTGCTCTCAAGATCCAATTAGACCAACTCAATACCAAGATCCAATTTCTCGGTTTGATTTTTTATTTTACGCGGAATTTAATATTTCAATTATGTATATTTTTGTTTCCTTTCGATTCGATTCATCGAGTTTCGATTTTAGTAGTTAGTTACATTGTTTGATTGATTAAACTAAGTTTAGGAAATTAGGATTGAATTTGTTGTATATTATAAATCGATGTGATTGTGATTCGTGATGTTGCAATTACTGATGAGGCTTTTGTGTTTGAAAAAAAGCTTGTGGTGGTTATGGCAGTTAATGTACAATTTTAGGAAGTTTTATGTATGTAATTGTGTGTGTGTGTGTGGCTAATACGTGTTATTGTGGTTGGTTTTATTTTGAAGAGTCTCAAATCAGTGAGAAGTCAGAGGAATTGAAGAAGAAGGATGAAATAATAGCAGAAAAAGAAAAGCTTTTCAATGATAAGGCTAGTGCTATTCAGTCGTTGCAGAATGAGGTTAATTCTCTCCAGGTGAGATGACTTGAGATTAGACATGATTGGCGAATATATCTAATTGGGGATTTTCCATGCGTTAGTATTAAGTGTTTATCTCTATGAAGCATAGACTCCGACACCACTACATATACTGTAGGATTTGAGTTTCATTTATAGGTCTGTGACTCACTACATATATGATAGTATTTGAGTTTCATTTACTCATCTATAATTTAAATAGTGTAATCAAAATTAATGTCTTTAATTCTTCATTAACAACATTGTTTCAATACATGTTTAATCCTTTTAGTTGTGTGAGATTTGTTCAAAAATTATAAAGTGCGTTGAAGCAAAAAATATATATTTTTTAATGATCACTTGTCTGGATTGTCGACATGTGTTGTATGGGTGATATGAGTGTCAGACAGTGATTCTAAGAGTGTGGAATCAAAACCGTTTATTTGGGACACTTGTTTGACTTTTCCGGCACTTTTTTATTTCAATCATAAAGATATCATAAACTAGAAGTTATGCTAGATTGGGCCTTAATATGCTCCCTCCATTCTCTTTTATAAGCGGCTTTTACTTTTTAGATTCATTCAATAATTGATGTATCTAGTCTATATATAGTCCAAATGCATCATTTATTCAATGAATCTAAAAAGTAAAATTCTCTTATAAAAGAGAATGGAGGGAGTAACTCTATGATAGTAAATGTTGTGGTTTTCATATTTCTGTTATTTTTTTTAGCAATTCGGAATCACTTATTAGTTGGGATCATATACTCACAACTTGATGTCATTTGTTATTTGCTTAAACCCTTCCAAATTCATTTTCTCTTTCAGAAAAAAGGATCATTGGATGCTGAGGAGCGGGTTGTAAAGTCTAATGCACGTGCTGAGGAACTACAGAAGCAGGTCATGTATGAATGTGCTAGTTAGTGTATTATGCATATGATTATGATTCTTTTTTGTGCATCTTCTGAATTATTTCAATGCAGGTGGACAAGCTTAAAAGTGAACTTGAAAGTCAAAACAGTGAGAAAGGCAACTGGGAAACTCGGGTAGATGAGTTAGAGAAAAAGATTCATGTTTTGAACTCAAAATTAGAGAAGGTAAGTTATACATTTGGCTAGACTGTTTAATTCTGTTTTAAAAAAATATCAAGTTTGCTCTTCATGACTAGTTCTTATTCTTGTTTATAATGTATGCACTAATGCAAAAGATGATTTATCTGCAATTGTTCTGTTTGGAGTCATGGAACTTAGTTTACTCTTTTGAAAAATACTTTAGTTTAGTTATATTCACTTTTCATTTCTCTTGTTTTTGTAAAATGAGATGCTTATCAATAAGCAAGCATTGTCATGTTCAATGCTCATACCAGGAAGGTCATCGTCCTCTGATTTATTAATGTATCTTTTCTTTTCCTCCCTTGTCTCGGTGATTTCTACTGAAAGCATTGTTATCAATGGCAAATAATAGCGGTTTGTTCATTCTCTGCTACTCAACAGTGCTGTAGTCCTGCCATTTGAAAACATTTTTTTTACTGAATAGTGTATCGCTGAACAATAGCAGTTTGTTCAAATTCTGCTATGCTATATCAGTGCCACTATAGCTATTATTTAACAACACTTGAAAGTTGCTGGGTTATAAACACAGTCTTCTGATTGTGATCAACATCCTCTAAAGATACATCTGCCAGTTTTGTTAATATGATAAATTTCGCCCATCTTTACTACAGTCCCACCACTACCACTTTCAAAAGGTCATTCACATTGCCTACTTTGAGTCATTGCTGCTGTACTCAATCATCTTCACTAGCCAAAAGTGCAGTTGTCTTGGCCTCCATGGGCCTAATCACAAACAAAAAATAAAATTAAGATGTTATTATTGTTTGTATTTAAAACATAATCACCTATAGCCATGTAATTGTGTCAATTTATCCTCAAAAATAATAGTTTTGGGGATGACGTAACTTGAGTACTGTATTCTCCACAGATTCAAAAAATAAACGAGGAACAGAAGAAACAAATCCGCAAAACTGAACGCGCTCTTAAAGTTGCTGAGGTATGTGAGATTATGACCACATAAATTTTCTTGTTAATGTTGTGCAAGATTCTTGGTGAGGATTTTGATGAAAGTTTATTGTTTTTTAACTGATATTCTTGTTTAGGAAGAAATGTTGAAGGCAAAGCTAGAGGCAACTTTCAAAGCAAAAGAGCTGAGTGAGGTAATGATTTAGTTGATCCCCGAAACCATGTTATCCTTAGTACATGTGTTTAAAATGCTATTAGCCACGAGAAAACCTTCAAAATAATCTAGGGTAATCAGCAATAGCGTGGCTTCAATCTGAAACTGAAGAATTGTTTTAATTCATGTAATTTTTTTGGGTATATAGATGAATGTAGGAAGCCTTGCTCAAATCTAAGTAACAGTTCACCTAGTAAATTTTTTCCTTACATTATATCTCATTGGTTTTATTCATGATTTCAAATTTTACAATAAAAATAAGCTACAGTATAAGACAAGGTATATTGTGATTTTCAACTTTTATTAATTGGTGCTTACTCGTTTTAATGATCAGACTCATGGTGCTTGGCTTCCGCCTTGGCTTGCTGTACACTATCTCCGTAGTAAGGTGAGTTTATGTTGTATAACATGTGGCATTTGTTAGAACAGCCTTCTTCACAAGTTCTGAGAATTTTAATTTTTTGTTAGTCCGTGGTTGAGACTCATTGGAATGAACATGGGAAGCCTGTATTGGAAGTGATAACGCAAAAGGTACTATGTAGTATTGTTTTTGGCTGTCAGTCTTTTCTTTGTGTTATTCCTTTAACAAAGCAATTCCTATTGTTTTTGTATCTTAATGCTTTTGCTATGTATTCTAGGCCCTAGAGAAAAAGGCACAAGCTGGAAAGTGGGCTGAGCCTCATTTGGAAACAGTTAAAACTGTAAGCGTCATTTATATCTTTCATACTTTTGATCTGTGGAATACTGCAGTGACTCTGCCCTATGGTTAGATGGCGGATTTGCTTCAACCAAAATTTTTTGTTTTGCTCCTAGTCCTGATAATTTATTAACCATTTAGAAATTTCAACATTTGTGTGATGCTTGTGGTTTGTTAAATACTTAGGCAAATTAGATTATGTAATTTCTCACCCACTCTTGTTTTTGATTGAAGAAATGGATCCCAGCTGCGAATGAACACTGGTCTGCGGTGAAAACAAAGGTTGAACCTCATGTTCAACTACTGACTACAAAGACTGTTGAAGTTTACAAGTCCTCAAAGGATGTACTTACACCCCACATAAGCAAGGGATTAGAATGCGTAGACCCTTATTATCAGGTATGAGTTTCTTCATTGAACTGTATGGTTTGTTTGTTTATGTTTTTCTTGAGGTCTTCTCAACTGGTTGACAGGAAGTTCGAAAGTTTAGCAAGCCATACATTGATCAGGTCGCTACTGCAGCTAAGCCTCACGTCGAGAAAGTACAAGTAGTTCTGAAGCCCTACACAAAGAAGGTTGTTCATGTTTATGGGAATTTCTTAGAATCAGCCACTGCATATCATAGCCAGGTTTCAGGCTTTATTTTTATGCTATTGATATATTTCTGTTACCCTCACTCTGCTTATTCTCTGAAATTCTTGTTAATTCTGGATCTTGAATAGCATTTTTCTTTGATAGTACACTATTAGTTTTGTTAGCTCCTTATTGAGTGTTGAATTATGTTTTGTTATTAAGGTCCAAGCTACTGTCCAGGAGACACTGAAAAAACACGAACTTACTAGACCTCTTGCTACTAAAGAATTGGAATGGTTTGCGGTATGTATCCATGGATTTTCTATATCCTGAATATTATTACTAAAATTGAAATATGGTTAGGTGATTTGACAAACATATCAATTTGAAATTTTGCAGGCTTCTGCCCTTTTGGCCTTGCCTATAATTTTACTAGCTAGAGCTTTTTCTGCCGTTTTCTGGTTAGTCTTATACGGTCTTTCTTTTTGGTTGAAATCCATACTGATTTGCATTTTGTTGATATATTTCAAGTAGTATTTTTATTGAAAAAAAAGGATCACGTAGTTACAAATGATTTATGGTCTGCTGCAGCAAAAAGGCAGTTAAACCTGCTCGAAGTGGACACTCCCACCATGCTCGTCGTAAAGCTAAGCGAGGTCATCCAGACAAGTAGATAACATTAAGTTGGCTCCTAGTTTTTTTTTTTCCGGAGAGAAGTTTAGGTATGCTTATTCCATTATTGACTCTGGATGACTTTATTATTATGGATGTGAAGACCGAAACCTGGTTTTATCCTGTATTATTTTAAGCGGCATACATGATCCGTAGCACGCCTTGATATTTTTACCATAAGCCTGTTACTTGGCATGCATATCTGGTATGGTTTACTTTGTAAAAAATACAATAAAATCATTTGTCCCCTTGGCTTTTTGATTTAGCAAGTTAAATTTTATTTACATAGTCATCCATCATGTAGAGTGAGATTTAACATTTAAGGAGGAAAACTATTTTGGGTGTTTAACCGAACACCATTGGATGCCTCGTGTGATCTTAAATGTGCACATCCCACTTTTATGAAACATATGTCTCAGTAAAACAACGATTGGAGATCTAATTCACTAAATTGTAAGATTGGAAAAAACTTCTTTTAGCAACATGATGCCTATTGTAGTATTAACAATATTTTAGGATTCCATCTTTTGCGACCTTATGGTCTGGCACTCTGAAATGGTTTAACATTCCTGCTGGCACTTGTAGAAGTAGGATCAGTATTAAAATGAATTAGCATCACATTTCCTACCCTATTTCTGTTCTGCATAATGTGGTAGGGTTCAAGAAATCACTGATATGCAATATTAATGTTTTTGAAGATGTGGTGTGATTCAATGTTGTGAATATGTTTAGGTTATGTTCATTTATGTGTGTTTGAAATTATGTAAATATTGTCTAGATCCATTTTATTTTATTAAATAATAAAAATCACTTGGTATTATTATATAAAATAGAATCAAATATTGTGTTCTCTATGTAGCATTTCTTATTAATAGGTTTACATTTTCTAGCTTTCTACTCTATTTTGTTTTTCGCTTCAATACTTCAATATAGTACTTAAAAACACTTTCTGTATTTTGCAGATGGCTGGCATACTGGGGCATGCATATTTATTTTGATGCGGGGTTTGAATATTTCACTTCTTTTTGTTAGGAAAATTTAGGACATTTCACTGTAGAGCTTGGCACTCCCAATATCGTTGGGAGAGTTCATGTACTATGGCTGTTATATTTGTTATTAGACCCAGCACTAACACTTTTCTGTTTATTACCTTGTTTTCTTTTCTTATTTAAGTTTATAGACAATAGTAAAAATGTTTCCACTTAATGTATGTTTAATAGAATTAGAGCTTATTCTGGTTTTATGTGGAATTATAAGTTTATCACATAAAGAAACTGATTCGAGGGTTATTTGTTGAAATCTCATGTTTTCCCTTTTTTTGTTAGCTTATTGAAGTTATTTGGAACCATCCGTTGAAAATTGTGATTAGCAAAAATAACTTGTAGATGGAATTGCCATTTTAATTTTCACGAGGCTTAAATGCCGTGTACTTTAAATACACTTGTTCATTTCAATCTGGTTTGTGGAAAAAATTTGGGTATCGATTATTATTGATGACTGTTCATTTTCCTTTTTTGATGAAATTTAGATGGAGAAATGATATTTACACACCTTTTTAGGTGTCCAACAGCTTACTTTTCTACGGTCTGGTATATGGTGTTGTTTTTGTTTTTTTATAAATAATATATTTTTATACGGGGTTGGAATATAGGGTAAATGTTTCGGTGTTCAAATAACACCTCTAAATTTTAGAATGTGCAAATAGTATAGCGTGGTGATCAATTTTGAATTTTAGAATGTGCAAATAGTATAGCGTAGTGATCAAATTTGAAAAACCAATGGTATTTATGAGTTTTTAATTCCATCACTTGTATGTTGGTCCACCTGAGCCATTGATTTGATGTTGTGCCATTTGCGCCAAATAATATTTTAAATTAAAATAAAAAATAGTTAGAGATCAAATGGAACGGAGTTTTGGTGTGGCGGGAGTGAATTTCTATTATGGTAGAGTGGAGCGGTGATGAATCTGTTCAACGCACAAATTAGGCGAGTAAATAATTCTCTGGTGTGGGGGAGTGAATTTCTATTATAGTAGAGTGGAACGGAGATGAATCTATTCAACGCACGTGAATAAGGGAATATCTAAAATAGCATGTGATGACTTTTATATAAAGTGGACAATTAAAACTATCCTTGTCTAATTGGAACTTTGTGCTGGAGATTGTCTAATTGGAGCTTTGTGCAGAAGATTGTCTGATTACACATGATGAAGGGCAATTGTTTGAGGGCACATATCGAATGTGGGTATCCTAAGACCAACTCCAATGGGAGTTCTTAGAGTGGGTTTGCCAACATGACACTCATATTTGTTGTTTTCAAGATGGAAAAGTTCTTAAATATGCAACGGTTCTTCAATGGTTCTTATATTAAAATATTAATTTTATAATATAAAAACTATAATTTGATATAAAATTTTATTTATTATTTTAATTAAAATTTAAATATTTAAATTATAATTTTAAATAAAAGAAATTTAATATAAATAATATTTTTTAAGTAAAGTGGTGAGACTTAATATGGATTCTTTAGAATTGCACAATTGGAGTGAAAATTGAATGAGTTGCTTTAAAAGAGTGGGTCCCATAAAGAACCTAAAAATGGGTTGCACCATTGGAGATGCTCTACGGGTTGTTTTAACCCGTTACCCAACCCGTTCAACTTTCAATGGGTTGAGTTTATCATCAAACCCGTAATTCTACTTTAAAAACCGACCCGAATCAACCCGGATATTTACGGGTTGGGTAGGGTTGGGTCCACGGGTTGTGTATATAATAATTATTATTTTCAATTTAAAAAATCTATAACACAATTCAATATAATTTTGCATATTTCAAACAATTAAATTATTTACGTAGGGGAGACAAATCCTACATATAAAATAGAATAATTAAAAATATAACAATTAAAATTTTGAAATGTATTTTCTTTGTCATAAAAAATATTAAGATACATATACACCATTAATTATTTATATATTTTCATTAATATACCTTAATTTATAAAAATTTATTAGTTATTTTGATACTCAAATGTTATCCATTACAAATATATATCAACATATGTAAAACAAATATATAATAATATACAGTATATATTAGTTGTTTTGATACTCAAATGTTACCTTTTCTAGCACATGCTTAAAAGTAGGTCCGTAAACTATCATATATATATTAACACTTAATAATATATAAAATTCCATAAAATATCATTTCCATAAAATTCATAAATTCTAAATAATTCAAAAGCAAATAAACATCACTTAGTCTTAAAATGACATAGATGTATTGGTCCAATATTGGTCTAATAGCACCAAAATCTAACAGCAACTATAAAAGATTCCAGCACCAGCAGTGAAAGGTTTAGCAACAACAGAAAATTCAGCAACAGTAGCTGTAAAAGATTCCAGCAACAACAATGAAACGTTTAGCAACAACATAAAATCCAACAACAACAGTTAAAAGTTTAAGCAACAATAGTCAAAAGAAGAAGAAAAAAAACAACACTAGAAAATACCTTAAAATCTAGTAGTAACAGTTGTATTGAGCTCAACCGCAGTAATGCCAACATCAATAGAAACTAATCCAGCTAACTCTATATATGTAAACACAAACAACTAATAAGAATAATGTAATGTAATACTAAAATAAAATAGATTTTAAAATTCAAACATATAATTCATACCTGACTCAACCTTTTCCAATTCAACCAACTCTTTTTCTAAATCAATGACCTTAGGAGATTTGATCCAATTTTGAGTACAAATCAAAGCTTCAACGGTAGAGGGATTCAAGGAACTACGAAATGAATCAAGGACACGACCTCCTGTACTAAAAGCGGATTCAGAAGATACAGTGGATACAGGGATAACCAATATATCTCTAGCTATGCGGAAAAGCACATGATATTTATTTGTTTTTCCTTTCCACCAAGTGAGAATATTAAATGTAGGAGAATCATCTTCAACACCATCCTCCAAATACCTTTCCAACTCATTTTTTTGCACTTCACATTGTTTTTTCTTCATATTCATTCTAAACAAATTGTCCCAATCTTCATCATCTTCACCATTTTCAATTCTAGAATGAGAGGCAATGTTTGAAGATGAGGCATTGGAACCACCATCATGAGAAACAGGATACAAAAATAAATAGTGCTCAAACAATTTAGCAATGAGAGATTTCAATTTCTTTAACATATCCTCTGACAATTTTTCACCATACATTCGAGTAAAACAAAATTCAATATAGTCAAGCTTATAACGAGGATCAAGATAAATAGCAACAAAGAGAAGATAATTTATTGTATTGCTTTCCCAATACTTGTTGTACTTCAATTGCATATTTGCTGTCATGGTTTTCAAAATTGGATCACTAACATTGTGCCTCCATTTATTCAACGTTTTTTTAATATCCATCAACTGTTTGAAAAAAGAGTTAGCAGTAACATGCAATGACCCAGAAAAAGAAAGTGTGGCATCATAAAAAGTTTTCAAAAACTTCACAAAAATACGAGCTCGTTCCCAATCAGCTCGATTAGGACATCCTTTCGACTCAATACGGAGATTAGTTAAAAATGCAACATCAGTATGTTCTAAGCGGTAAAATGCATGTTCATACTTTTCAGCGATGTTCAACATTAAATAAGTAGAGTTCCATCTGGTTTCTACATCTAGTGTTACCAATGCTTTAGAACATACACCAACAGCTTCTGCACACTTCTTGAAAGTAGCCAACCTACTAGGAGAAGCCTTGACAAACTTACATGCAACCCTAATTCTTTTAACAGATTCATCAATATCCTTTATTCCTTCTTTGACAATCAAGTTTAATATGTGAGCATACATCTCATATGCAAGTACTCCCCATTAAACAAAGTACGACCATTCCAAAAACTCATGCCTCGATTTAAATAATCAATTGCCAAATTGTTAGCACTTGCATTATCAACAGTCACACAACATATAGACTTGATACCCCATTCCTTCATGCAATTCTCTAATGT